ATAGTCACATTACTAAAAATTCCCATTATTTCCTTTGTTCTTTTGATTAAGAGCGTTGATAAGATATTGCCTTGGAACCCTCTACCAGAACCTCTATATCTTACTCCTAAAAGGTAATGCTTAGCGCAGAGCTTGTCACTTCATATATGAACTTCGGAACTTTTTCTATGTGAATTTACATTCGTTTCCACTGAATTTCCTCTGATGTGCCTCCTAGCAACGTAGTTCTGAAACCAAGATACCTACGTTAATATAAAAACAATTTGTGGCAGTAGCAGTGAAAACGGTGGTGTCATCTTCTCTTAAATCTGAAGTGTTCATTTAGGTTTTGCATTTCAAAAGCAGTAACTATCACTGAAATGGTTTGTCTAAGCTAACTATTCTTTCTGACATAAAAATGATATGCAGTTTCCTGAATGACATTGGTTTCCTGAGTTAATTTATCTCCACTGACAGGATGTATTCCTGTACAAATGTACATGTAAAACATGAGACTTTCCTCATGGAACAGCAAATACTGTTCTTATACTTGGAGCCTGTGGAATTTTTTTCATAACAGCACATGCTATCAGTAGAACATAAAAATAGAAATAAAAATTTTACCTACTTTCAATTTATTTGAATGCAAGTAAAACCATAATCTTTTTGTTGGCCTATACTCCCTATACTCGTTGAGCCAGAGAGTGTATGAGCAACAGAAAAGCCCATAATTGGATGCTGTAGTGTTTGATGGGTAACAAATAAAAACCAAAATTAATTACAAACCACAAAAGAAATGTGAGTTGTCTATATCCTGTGTTTTGTTGCTTAGATCTGTTCTGGCAGAAATAAATAGCAGTATTGAGCAAGATCTGATATTGTTTTTACTTAACTATCCCATCAGTTAGAAATAAGTAGATTTACTGAGGATTAAGGGAATTTGCACATATGAAATGCTGAGTATTTTCATATTCTAGCTTTTGTCCCTAAATCTTTGCAATAAATTCATAATACATTTGGTCCAGTCCTATCTCCTTTTTAGCACTTTTTTTTTTTTTTTTTTCCATCACAGTATTTGTTCTCCTTAGTTTCAATACCGTCAGTTCGTTCTGTGACAGCTTCAATTTGAGATTCAATTTATTATTAGATCAATAAAGATCTAATCGATCTAAAGATCGATTAAATCAATACAAAAATCAGGTAGGTTCTCCCTACCTGGGTAGCAAGTCTGACCCTTATTTTATTCCAGCCTATCTTAGACATAACACAAATAATAAATGACATTATTACCTCAGAACAGAAAGCTTTTGTCCATGCAAAAGCACTTGTCCTTATTGTTTCCACATGCATCTTGCAAGATTTCACAGCTAGCCTTAACCTTTTCTTCAGGATTTATCAGGCAATAAACAGCTTGCTGGCTTCAGTTTCTGTATGTCTTGCAGTATTCAGTCATAATTTTTCAGTGCTCATTGTTCTAAGCCTCAAGTCTTAGCCTTGGACATAACCTACTATAACACACCCGTCTCGTCTAGCTACAGAATTACTACTGATGGAAAGCCACTGTTCTATCACAAGCATTTAACTGGCTTAGCTGGAGCACTTCTAGCAATAAGAATATCAAAATGGAGCTAGAATTCAAGGGCTGTATAACTGGCACAGAGAATAATCGAAGAAGGTTAATACTGACTACAGTGATTGTAAGTACAGGGGTTCTAGGGCTGATTGCAGCCTCTACAGCTTGAAGAAGAAAAGTAGTGGCAAGAATTGCAAGCATAATTAATCAAGAGCATAGACAAGAATTGTAGAGGTCAGGATATCACAAATACATGGATTTTGAAATAAAGCAGCTGCCCACTGTGTTTAAGGAAACATGACATTATACAAGCAAATGAGATTAGACCAAGAACTATGCCTTATTTTAGGTGGTGCTTTTTCATTCTAATGGAACAACTGAAATCAATAGCTTTGAATCTCATGCTAAAAGCAGGTACCATATGCAAGTATTTTCCTGATTTATGATCTCTTTTTTTTTTTTAAAGGAGCCAAATTAGTCAGAACACTGTAAGAACAAAAGTGAAAAGAAAAACCATGACTGCCTTCATACCTCCATTTCTCATTCATCAATAGTAGCTCTAAAATTAGTGCTCTGGATATGATAAACATTATATTCAGACTTAGTTTTATGCACATTACTCACACTGAAGAAAATAGAATTTTGTTTGATTTGTTTCTGTACTGTGTAAGGGACCAAATGACTACAAAACCAAAATAAGGGAAGGCCATTTATTTTCATATTTTTGTTTCTTCTCCAGCAAAGAAAACAAAAACATACAGAACAGATTAGAATTTAATGTAGGAAAAGAGGCTTTCCAGCCTTGGCAAATGAATTAGCTGAAATAATTATGGAAGTTCCATGTTGCTAACACAAACATTCAAAAGCAGAACATGTTGGGCTCCTGATGTCAGGCTGAAAGTAACTAAAATAGGCCGTGAGTGAACAAAAATGCATTACTCTCAGTAAGGATTTCTCTTACTTTAGAACTGGAAGAATGAAGAATTCGTATAGCTTTAGAGTACCATATTAAAAAAAAAAAAAAAAAATCAGAGGTGTGTACTGTGAAAGATTAATAATTCACACTGGTTTTGAATCTAGAAGATAGTTCTCAAATGTTGTGCTTAGTCAAAACACATTCCATCAAAGAGATAATGAAGACATTGGAACTAATCACATAAGGAATAAAAACAATTTACAGGCAATGCAAACAAACAAACAAACACACAAAAAAACCTGAGCAAGCAGAATTCTGTAAATTAATCTGTATATGGAACTTTAAAAAGGTCTCAATCCTACTGGAGATTTCTAGTTCATTTCCATTATTAAAGTTAAGGAAAAAATAATGGATATTCTGTGTCAGCAGCGCAAACAGAGTTCTGCAGAACTCATGCCTTTTATTCAAAGTAAAATCCACTGAGATCAAGGCGAAGAAAACATTTGTGTTGGGAGGCATATGCATCAAAGAGAGAAAAAAGAGGGCCATGCAGACCTGAATTCAATTCAAAGTTTCCGTACAAGTTTGGACATCATACGCCATCATCTTTTATTCCCTTAAGAAAAATTTTCCAGTTGTACACAGTTGGTCTTCAAACCCCATGAGACAAAGTTTGTACAGTACACATTGCAACACTGTCAGGACTGAAATTAAAGTCCCTGGGTATGATAAATAAACATGAGTGAGTCCAGAAAAAAAAAGATAACCAGCGAATGAGATTGTACCCAACAGTACGATCAAAGAGAATTGACTGTTTGCATTTGACACTACCCAAGTGTTAAGTGTTACACCAAGTACAATCACATAGCATAGTTTTGACTATTGCTACTGATACCACTATGAAGATTTTAGTTGGAGGGCAAGTTCAGGATTTTTGTAAGACAAATTTCTGCCTTGCAAAACATAATTGAATCTGTTGTAGCAATTACTCTTAAATTGAAGAGTCACAACCATCCCTTTGATAATTATACGTTACAAGGTTTGAAAGAAGTTTGAATAACAATGCACGTAATTGTTCTTTTACATGAGTGAAAGTTCCCAGTGAAGTTGATAGAATTATATTAGTGAAAGCTGAAAACTGAGGCTACGTGAGATACAACTGTTACAGGAGTTATTAACTGCTACTCCTCCTCTTAAACTTATCATCCTTTTGTTTTAAAGAGGACTCTAATAAATTAGGCAACTTTTCACACCATGCAATTAAGGCTTTAACTTTTCTGAAGACAATTCCACTGCTTCGAAGGGTTAAAATTCTTAGTCTTGTTTTTCCTCATTGCTAATTTAGCTCTTGGATTTTCTTGTCTCTAGTTAGCAAGCACTTGGAGATAAGAGTGTGGCCTTGGGTGCATTTTTATGCTTGGAGGAGAAGTTAGTGCAAGGGACAAGAGATCTGAAGTATTTGCAGTAAGTTGTGTTGCAAAAGAGAAATAATGCATTAACTGCATTTCCCTGAGTACTTGAGGGTACTTGCTCATTTGTAGTATCTCATTATGTGTCAGATAATGCAACAAAGACAAGACTAACTAAAGCCAGCTCATTACTTCAGGGTGAGAAAATTCTCCTTACCCACAGAAATTCCCAAGAATTGTTAGTCACCAGTGCTCAGGATTCTGACTGATTACAGAGACTCTCATAGGTTGAAGATAAATTGTTTGAATGTGGGTGTGAACCTTTCACAAAGGAGATGGCATTGTGACTTCTCCAAGGCGGATTCCTACAGGTTTCATTATTACCTCTTTTGATCAGATTTGTATTAAGGTTAATATCCTCTAAAGGCAAACTTCTTTCAAACACAAAACTGTCTCAGAAAGCAGCATGTTTATATGTATTATAAACAGTAAGTGTAACAATGAAACAGTTGCCTGTTGATCATGTCACTGAACTTCTTTTATCTGCATTCTAACATAAGAATTGGAACATCTCGTATGTGAAGAAAGGCTGGGACAATTCAATCAGAAAACAGAGGCCCAGAGGGATCTCATCAGTATGTATAAATACTTGAAGGAGAACAAATGGCAGTGGGCACAAAATGAAATACAGTTTTAATTTGAATGCTATCTGAACCTCAGGAAACACTTTTTCTCTACAGGTTAGTGAGCGATGGCACAGGACACCCAGAGAGTTTGTGGAGTCTCCTTGGAGATTTTCAAAAGCCACCTGGACATAATCTGGGGCAGCACAGGGTGTTCCTTCTTGAGCAGGGATTAGATTAGACGACCTCCAGAGGTCCCTGACACTCTCAACCATGTTACGACTTTGTGAGTACTCTGAACTGAGTCGTCACATGATTCTTGGTAATTCTTGAAACACTGTTGAAGTTACAGATGGTAGGAAAAAAAAAAAGGTACTACAACAGCGTAGCAATTGAACAGATCAATAGGATGAGAAAGATATTACAACAAAGTGTGATGATGGAAGGACCAACAGGATAGAAAGGTGCTATAAAGGAAGGGAAGAAGATTGCTCACCCACATTAGAAGACTCTAGGCTCACAGGGGAAAACTTCACCAAAAAGAAATCTCCAAAAAGAGATCCTTCCCCAGGAGCACTTAAATGAGGTCTAAGAGAGGTACAGCCAGGCTCCACCCCTTTCAGTCACACAGATGAATTGCCTTCACTTGTGCTCCCAGGGCTGCCTGGTTCTTTCCCCATGTGCTCAATCAGTGGTTCAGGCCGTGACTCAACAGTTCCCATACAGACAGTATTAAAAACACTAACTAGAGACCATCAGTCTGACATCAGTCCTACACAAGAGACTAGAATAGACTAGACATGTTAATGGGGAATTAGAGAAGACCAATAAAGCTAAGCAGTGTGGCTACAAGCAATGGATATTTTCATTAACTTGATTATTTAATGGCATTACAGTTTGGTGTGCAAACGCACTTCCTTAAAACAGTTGAAGCTGTTGAAGTAATACATTGCTTTGGCATTAAGAAAAAAAACCTTGATGGAACTTAGATTACACATTTTTTTAAAAAAGTGAATGCCTGATTAATCTTCCCATTTACGGCAGGATAAAACAGTTATATTCATAATTAATTTCTTCAGGTTTTCCCCCTCACTCTGAGGTATTTTTATCCAAAACAATATAAAATCACTAACGAGATTTATGGATGAGATGGGAGAGCTATAACGTAATTAAAACAACAGACTACTGACAAAAGTCAAAGGAAATTGCTGGCAAGCTGTCCGCAAGAGGAGGGGAAAAAAATGGCAATCAAACAAGTGGCCCATAGTCACTTTATGCAATGTATTTGGCATATTCTGCTTATAGGACAAGACTATGTGCTGAGAAGTGCATGTCTTAATAAAACTATGTCCTGCACTGTGCTTTTTTCACACTGTAAGCATGAGGAAACAGTAATCAAAAGCAGTAGGGAAATGATACTTGTGTATTTTGGAAGTCATATTGTGTAGGTTAAAACATCAATGCTCATGCTAATGCCACTGAAATCATGTATCTAAATCTCAAGATGGGTAGCAAATAAGTATTATAGTATTTAGAGAAAATAAATCACAAGGATAAATAAGATGTGGAAAACATTCCTTGCAGTGGAAAATAGTATCTTCAATCCAATAACGTCTAGTAAAGTCTTACAGCTGAATGTTGGAACACTCTTAAGCATAACATCAGCTACATCTAATTGGATTTGAGTTTCTCTAATTCTCCAGCCCACTCTTTCAAGAAAATAACTGTTAAAGATCTTCTTCAGACCTCCCAGTGCTTGATGATTCACACAGTAAAAGAACTTCATGCAGCAGAAACATAATATATGCAAATGGCTTTTTCAGTTACCTCAGTGAGACCTTTTGCCTCATCTTACTAATTCAATATACACATTTGAGACAGTGTACTTTGAATTCTAATTTTTTTCCCTTCAGAATGAAAATTTTACTAATTATACAATCAAAGTCCTGACATTTAACCTTAAAATTATTGTTGATAATGTTGAAGTCCACCAACCTTTCATGAATTTGTATTAAACTGCTCATCACTATTTTTTGTGTTACTATTCCAATTGTAGCCACAGTCACAATTTCAGGAAAAAAAATATCCATGAGGATTTGGTGAATGCTAATATGATGATTACATAGCAAATTTCTTTAGTAATAATAAATGTAGAAAGATGTATAGATAATCAGGAATGACTCTGCAGGAGAACTATTCTAGTTTATATGTGTTATAGTGTTCTTTTAAGCAACAGGCATTCACACTGTAAATGACATGAGCAAACAGTAATGAATTATTTTGGGCAGAATGCTGTGAAAATCCTCAGTAACTGTACTATTGTCATACAGCAATACATCTTTAAAGTTAACAAAAGAAACAGCTGCCAACATTAAATGAGTAGCCAGTATCTACATATGGTACAAAAAAGAAAGATGAGAGAAGCAGCTATCACTTTGATCTACAGCATTGCAGTTAAATCCACCTAATAATGAGGGTGTAAGTAAAAATCAGATTCTTGAGATAGCTTTTGACTCTGTGAGTGAAGCCAGAAAGTTAAAAGGAAAGCACTGTAGCTCCAAAAGTCGATGTAAATGTTTTCTTGATTCAGTGAAGCCAGGAAAAATCTTTTAAAGCCAAGAATTCTGAAACTATAACCCCACGAAAGACATAATCCAGAAGCTTGAATCCATGGTCACTTGACAAAAAGCTGTAATTACAAACTTCATTTTCCCCGGACTAATTTTTTTTTTTTTTTTTTTTTTAACAGAACCAGACACTGTGGTGACAGTTCCTCCAAATTCTTGCCATTTTGTCAGCTCATTTGCTTTCTTCAGAAATGGTCTTACATGGCTGACTCTGACAGACAGGTTTGTGATAAATGCACTAACTTAATTCATCAAAATCTTATGTTAGCTATACTTATCCACTCCAATGCAAAGCAAAGTAGATGATAATGTACTGATTGAATAACACTTTTAAACTTGCCTACTGGTAATATCTGACAAGGAGAAGGCTGAGATACTTAACAACATTTTTCTTCAGATTTCCCTGGTAGTGCTCACCACAAAGCCCTCAAACATTCGGTTTGGCAGGAGGGGACTGGGGAAGCAGCGTCCCTCTCACTGTAAGTGAAGATCAGGTTCTTGACCACCTGAGGAACCTGAGCATCCATAAGTCTATGGATCCTGATGAGATGCATTTTGGAGTTCTGAGGGAATTAGTTGACGTAATTGCCAATTCACTCTCAACGATATTTGAAGAGTCACGTCAATCAGGAGAAAGTCCTAGTGACAGAATAAAAAGTAACATCACACCCATTTTTAAAAAGGGTTGAAAGCATGACCCTGGGAACAACTGTCAGTCTCAGCTCTGCACCAGGGAAGATCATGGAACAGATCCTCCTGGAAGCTATGCTAAGGCAGATGGAAGGCAGGGAGGTGATATGAGAGAACCAGCATGGCTACACCAAGGGCAGATCCTGCTTGATCAACCTAGTGGCCTTCTATGGTGCTATCACTGCAACAGTGGACAAGAAAAAAGCCACTGACGTTACCTATCTTGACTTCAGTAAGGCCTTTGACGTGGTACCCCACAATATCCTTCTCTCCAAATTAGAAAGATATAAAGAAATTAGAAAGATAGATTCGATGGGTGGACTCTTTGATGGATGAAAAACTGGCTGTAGGATCAAGTCCAGAGAATGGTGGCCAATGGCTCAGTGCCTAGATGGAGGTTGGTGAAGAGTGGCGTTCCTCAGGGGTTGGTACTCTTTAACATCATCAATGATATTGGCAGAGGGGTTGAGTGCAGCCTCAGCAAGTTTGCTGATGACTGCAAGATATAGAGCGCAGTCAACATGCCAGAGGGATAGGATGTCATCCATAGGGGCCTAGACAGGCCTGAGCAGTGGGCCCCAGTGAACCTCATGAGGGTCAACAAATCCAAATGCAAGACCTGAGTGGAGGCAATCCCCATCACAAATGCAAGCTAGGATATGAGAGGATTTAATACAGCCTTGCTGAAAAAGACCTGGGAATAATGGTGGATGGGAAGCTGAACATAAGTCAGCAATGTGCTGTCACAGCCCAGAAAGCCAACTGTATCCTGGGCTGCATCAAAAGAAGCACAGCCAGCAGGTCAGAGGAGGAGATCCTGCCTTGCTATTCTGTGATGGTGAGGCCTCATCAGAAGTACTGCATCCAGATGTGAAGTCCTCAGTACAGGAGAAACACTGACCTGTTGGAGAGCATCCAGAGAAGGGCCACAAAAATGATCCAAGGGATGGAAAATCTCTCCTACAAGGACAGGCTGAGAGAGCTGGGGCTGAATAGCCTGGAGAAGAGGTGGCTCTGAGGTGATAAGGTAGTGGCCTTTCAATATCTAAAGTGGAGCTATAGGAAAGAAGGAGACAGACTTTTTAGCAGGGTCTGTTGTGATAGGACAAGGGAAAATAGCTTCCAGCTTAAAGAGGGGAGATTTCGGTTAGATATAAGGAAAAAATATTTTACAGAGAGGGTGGCGAGACACTGGAACAGGTTGCCCAGGTGATATGATTGATGTCCCATCCCTAGAGATTTTCAAGGCAAGGCTAGATTATGCCCTGGGCAACCTTATCTAGCTCTGGTGTCTCTGTTCATTGCAGGCGGACTTCAGCGGTCCCTTCCAACTCTAATGATTCCATCTGCTACAGAAATAACTGAGGTGGCATGCTTATAAATGAAGATGTGACCTTATTGGTATAATCACTTTTCTTTAGAGAATTAATTAGTATGGTTTCTTATTTATAATGTTTGTTTACTACTGTATTGTAAAGGGAAACACATCATTTGCATGTGACTCAAGCTGTTAATGCATCCAGTTTCTTCTTAGCACTGAAGCATATCAGAAACAAATTCTAAGTTTGTAAACACCACCAAATTAATGTCAGTCCCTAGTGCAGGAGTCAACTGCATTTTAGATTAGCCATGAGTTGCATCTATTTTCTGTAGAGACATAAGAACATTGTTTAGACACATCATCTTGGAAGGGAAATATGTTTATCACTTTCCATGGGATGACAGTCATTGATCTCAGGCTGTTCTTTTCTCTTACATTAAATTTAAACCCATGATGTCTGAAACTAAACTGTCTTTGCACATACAAACAGCAGAAAAAATGGCAGCCTAAGTGATATTAAATTCTGTTAATGATATGATCATTTGCAGTCATTGTTTTAAAAACTCTGCACTTATTCAGTGTTTTGTAGGCTTGCAAAATTTTCTTCAGCAGGAATGAAGAACACCAGTAACATTGTCACTGTCACTTAGTTCAGCCACAACACCATAACAAGCTATGTTGTGGCCCTTCCTCTCAGGGTTTTTAATTAGAGCACACCTAAAACTGTAATAGGTCTTGTTTTATATAATCTCTGAGACATTCTTTCCACTCCCGCATCATCCATCCACTCTTTCTTTTATATTTAGCAAATAAACTTTATTCTGCTCTTGTGCAGTCCAAATGCTGAGGGAAATTCAGTTCCCTCTCCCTGCTGATTTCTTCTCCTTCACCAC